CGGACAATAATTTTTTAATCAAAACAACCATGAAATTTTAGCCTCAGCTAAAGACATCGTTGATAACTTATCCTCTCTTACCAGTGAATCATTGAGCGTGTTTTGGTTTGATTTTGTTTGGTTAAGAATTAAGAGCCTCCTGAACTCTCCATTTTCCCTTTCGTTAATCTATCAGCTTTAGATTTTTACTTCATAAAAAGTTTTTGACCTACATGTTTTTACTGTCACTTGTGGTACAGAGGTTTTCATTACCAACCCTCGTCTAGCTGTTATGCGCACGACGAAGAACGACGTTACGAAAACGACAATGACGGTACGACGAGTTTCGGACGAGAACTTGGACTGCTGTTGTACTGTGACGTGTAGTGGACAGACTGGAGTAACAAACAAACTTTGTCAATACAGATACAAGATTACACGCGATTCGGTGGGGCGACGGAAATTAAAACGGGCGCTTGCAGCGACAACCGCTGCGGACAAGGTACCGATAACTGAAATGCAGTGAGACAATGCTGGGAGGGACCGCTGGACGCGAAACGTGGGGCACACTGAATACCCACGATCCTGAATAATGGAGACACGGGACGATGACACGGAACACTGGGGGAAGACACGACGATACACGGTCGACGCACCCGATGATAAAGCTGAAAATATATTAAATCTTACAACAATTTTACACGCTTAAATACTCATCACAAAAGGCGGGACAGATCACAGGTCAAACTGCTGCACGTTTCTTTGCTTCTTGCTTCTCCTACGCGCCATCTTTTGTCCGCTCTACATAGCACAACGCAGACATTACTGTTTGGAATGATTACTTTTTAGTTGAGCTTCCATGGCCCTTTCTACCCTTCCTATTTCAAATATGAGTTCTGAAGCATTAGAATTGAGGTGCATCTTTTATCACGCGCAACCAGAGTTACCCTGCAAGCTCGTTTTAACGAAACTGTTTTTGCAGCTCAAGTGCCTTCAATGGAGCAGTATGTATTCGCTACCGGATATGATGCGCCGGATTTTGATACCTGTGTACAGAGGGCTAACTTATTCGATATTGGCAAGGATAACTGTGTGCAAATCGCCGAACAGTTAACTTTTTGGGACGCTGTAAGGATTAATTTATTCTTCCACTAAACAGCTGAGGGGCTTGCAATGGTGATGAGTGACACACACTCAAAAGGTTGAACTGATACAAGCGAAAAACCTTCTTTTGGCTTCTTTTTCGTAGTAGATAGGTACTTGTGCACATTAGGGAGTCCGAACTTTCTTCGAGTTTCTTTTTCATTAATCCTCGGAAGAGAAAACCATTACCAACACCGTATACAAATGTGCGAAATGCTATCACATGAGTCATTTCCTGTGCTTTCGCATCTCAAAAAGCAGCGAAAGTGACCTACTTCTACATTAGATACGACAGCTAAGTTGTTCTGACTTGAACCACTAATTAGGCGATAGGAAGAATATGTTGGAAAATGCGAATAATGGTTAATAACCTAAGTTTTGCATGAAGAAAAAAGATGGTATATCTGCACTCGCATCTCATTAATGTTGAATATTCCGCAGTTTTGCAGCCTGAGCAAACCTTGGTACAACAGCGAGTCCGGTTCCTGTCGTTAAGTCCTTTTTTGTAGGAGTTGTTCAAGGAGTTGCTACCACAGCAATGCCAAGGTTGCGTCTGGACGAAAAGGCATAAACGAGGGCCAGAAACAGTATATACAGTACGAGCAACAATCGATCAGGTAAGAAAGGCAGCCTGCTTGGGAGATTTTTCTGTGCAGGGAAGAGCTATTTTGCAGTATATTTTTGGGCCCATTTTATTCGACGCTTACTCCGATACTTTGAAATAGCTTCATGTTGTTCTCCTTTTCACCACTGATGCAGCATTTGGCAGCTTCTCCGTTCTTCCCTGATTTTGATCTTATCCCATCCACATAGCCTGATCCAGCCGTTTAAGTGGATTCTTCCACCCTTAGCAACCTTCTTTAGA